ATGCTGCAACCTCTGCTTACTTTGGACTAAATGTTCTTTTTTTTATTTTTTTTTCAGGTGCATAGCCAGATTTATTTTTCTCAGAAAGCAAAGCCACTGGAACTGCATGTATTACAAAAACATACCGGTACTATTCACTGCGTGTCCTCTGCTTTTTACTTTGAGAAGTTCTGTCAACCAAAGCATAAATATGTGTTTCTCTGTACATAAAATTTCACACGATTTGTTAATATTAATGTATGATAATAAAAACTTGATAATATTTTTCTGGATTTTTGCACTTTATTTGTATCATTGTCATATGAGAAGTAATCTTGTCCTTTTTAGAGATATTGAAACTAATCCAGGGCCACAAACTAGTTTATCCAAACAGACACAACACTGACATATTTGCAGATCTGATTTGTATACTTCCTTGTCATTTTACCTGTTGTACTGGTTTGGTGCTATCTGGTTTCCTTGCTGAGAATAATGCTGACCTGGATGGAGAGTGCTATAAACTTGAAAATGCCATAGAAATCACGTTTGCCAATTTATGTCCATGCAACTTTAGAATGACAACTAGCGAAGGCAGTGTCATTCATGACTTGTAACTTACAATTATCAAAAACGCCACACCCTGGTAGGGAGAACCCTATCTCCTCCACTTGGTGGCGCTGCTGAATTGCAATGCTCTCTTGGAGTTTTTTTCTAGAAAACCCCCGGGGGACAATACGTTGCGATTATGGGCAAAATAAAGAAAATTAGTATGCAAAATTGTTAGACAACCAGCACCAATCACCAAACTAGAACGACTTGCAATAAACTCAGGATTTATTAATAATGAAAAGCCTGTTGGCAAACCCAAGACTTACAACGTGATATAACACAAATTTTAAGAGTAATGCAGAACTTGCAGTCTGCCCTTGATATACATCAATAAATTTCTGGCCATGTAAGAAAATTAGTGGGAAAGTCTCTAACTGGATTAATATAAAAATTGAAACAAAAGAATACACTGTGGTGGTTTCTACCACATTTGCACTCGTGTTGATGTCTCACTTCAGAATCTGTATTTTGAAACAATGTACAAGTCACAATATTATTGAACTTAATTACAATAATTTGCAGATAAATGATTCAGAAATTACTCCAACAAGCCATTATGTTTCATGATAACTCAATTTTCTATTCAACATAGATAATTCACTACTGACTTGTGCGTCAAAACATGTATTCATAAGCATAACAGTGTCCCAATGCAAGATTAAAGTTAAAACTGCTTCATAATAACCTTGTCACTGTTTGCAATGTGACTAAACTGATTGGTAATCCTGGTAAAACAACATAGTAATATTCAGAGAAATAAAACTTTCATCCTTGGTAAAGTCCAGTCATACATTGTTTACATAATGCTATTTGATTTTGAGCAGTTTGTCCATTGACAGGTTGTAGAGGGGTGAAGTTGCTTTGGTATTGGAGAATATAATCTAAATTAGTCTGTGTTTAAGTCAGTTACATCAGTTACAAAATGTATTACAAAACTACAATTTCACAATCGCCTCAGCGTGTACTTCCCTGAAAGTGAATTCAAGCTGCACACATGTGGCAATATAACTAATGCTTTAAAACAATATATATATATATATAATCAATTGTAATATTTCTTCTGTCAATGGGGATAAAAAACATCAACAGGTTGAGATTGTCTTCAGTAACATGTTTGTTGTTGAACGTTCATTGCCAGTATTTATCATTATGCAGTAATAACTGGCATGTTTTAATGGATAACTACTTGACGCGGTGTCCTAATTTGTGTATAGTCAATGAAGCTCCCAGTTACTTAATGTTGATTTATTAAATGCATCTTGATCTGATAATACAAGTATTTTGGTTATCATAACATAATTTTTTGTCCAGATATGTACATTGTCTACAAAGCTACATCATAATGTGTGTGACATTCGTGCTAAACCAGTCGATACTAGATCATTTCATTTCAAATGTCTGTTTGAAATTAATAGTTTTCATGGTAGTCTCTCTCATGTGCTTATATTTCCAGATGTATGATAAGACCCCATTGAAGGTGAAAAACTTTGGTGTGTGGCTACGCTATGATTCTCGAAGTGGTACTCATAATATGTACAGGGAGTATAGAGATATGACTGTAGCCAGTGCCATTACCCAGTGTTGTAAGTAATTCATAGATTATTGACCTAATCCAAGGGAGTACAGAAATATGATGGTACAATGGACTTTTTATATTACAATTATGCATTTATAACAATCTTAAGGTAGCAAAAAAGAAAATTTTCACTTTTTTTTTGATTTTTAAAAAAATGATAAAATGGTTACTTTAGACCTTGATACATCATCCCAGGCTTACAAAAGATCGAAATTGCAAAGTAACGTTGCTTAAATTAGTGTTTTAAAACGCTAGAAGAAAAGACTACAACTGCCGTTTTATGAATACCGTAAAAACCCTCAAATAAGAGCCACTTTGTAACACTTTGATTTCTGGGTGGTGCTTATTTGAGGTAACATTTTGACAACTTTGTAGCCAGTGGCTCTTCAACCAGGGTGATCAAACTTTTTCATTGTGAAATAGGGAAGGGGATAGGCAAACACACACACAACCAAAACAGACAAGTAATCATTAAATGTATCATTGATATTTATTTATTCTGTAAAAATACTGTTATAGGAATAACAACTGTCAAATAAATAAGAACGGCTGCTCACTGACCGTGCTGCTTAGCGTACACGACGATTTGACGTTTCACCGACAATGTGTAGCGATGCCTGAAGTCTCGTTTCACTGACAATGCGTAGCGATGCCTGAAGTCGGATTTTGTAGCACTCTCAGTGTCTGACCTAACATTCAAATCACTTGTACTTCCGTTGTACAAATGTTTGGTACAGCAAACTCGAACTTTTTTTTTGAAACTGGGAATAACTTGCGTGGCTGGCGTGGTGGTTGATTTGGTGACGATATAAAATGGTTTCGGATAGAATTGATCTGACCAGCAGCGACAGGAGAAGACATACTTGCAAAGCAAGCATGAAAGTATTAAAAATAATTTCCTGTGACCAATCGGAGAGACGAAATCATTTATGAAAGCCCAGGCCAGATACAAGGCATTTTCTGATTGGTACAAGTCCAGATTATTTTCAATTCTCACAAATAGCTAATTTAAATATTTGGGTCAGGTGGGTCACGTCGACTTCGCTTTGCTGTAAGACAAGTTGATCGCTCAACTAATCGCACTAATCCATTCGACTTCAATTTTGACTATTTTCGGCAAGTGAGTCCTCTCCTAACTAATGCCTGTTATTTTGTCACTTCCCTGAACATTTTGTCTCGAATCACCCTAAAACGAACGTCTCTAATGAAATGCAAAAAATAACACCAAATCACGATCAGCGAGTGTGGGCTGCGTAATCATTACATTCTCACAGTCGGAGCTACGTCTCGATCCCTCAAACGTTGCCAGAACCGGATTAACACCTCTGTTTTCCCCCACGCTAAGGAAACAATCTTTTGTTTTCTACTGACTTGCTGTTCCGATCCGTCTGTGAGAATGTATTTTCGATACCTCCGATAAAGGCGTTTTAAAATCGTGGCGTTCTTTATTTAGTTATAAAGACAACATTGGCAATGAATATCTCAACGTGTCCTTCGGTGTTTCGTCAAAAAACAGTTACTACTAAATAGTTTGTGAATTGGTCAATTGTGTGTCAGAAATTTGAAATAGACAAGTTGAGTCGCATTCACGCTCTCAGTGCATTTCTTTCGTCTATCATTCTTCCGTTCTCAATTACACATGACATCAGGCAAGTTATGGGGATAATCTTTATTTGTCTCGCACCTTCTGTGGGGCAATAAACAATGCAGGGTGGAAGTGAGGTACGACAAGCTTGTGTCTGCCTGATGGTAAACTGGGCGGCTGGCGCTTATTTCTGGGTTCTTATTGACAAAACCACTCAACTCTTGGTGGCTCTTAATGGAGGGTCAAATGTAACAAATTTTCACTGAGTGGCTCTTAATTGAGGGTGGCGCTTATTTTGCAGGTTTTTACGGTATTTGCATAATGTTTGTTTGGAAGCGTTTAAATGATAACATCTTATCTGTATACTCTGTTGTTGACGATTCTGATATAACTGGTGATAAGCTTTCCGTCGCAAACAATGCATGTTTATCTAACTTCCACTGTCAGCATTATTGTCAGCCGAGACTTCGTAGGAGAAACATGGTCATACAGTCCGGGCATACAGTACTCATTTCGCCCAACCTTCCGCTTTTACATTGACCACTTATCGCTTAATTTCCGACCATGCGCTCTTGTTCGACTGGAAACCGACCGTATTTTAATCGCGTTTTTTTTGCTCGTACGCTCATTGAAACACCAACCGCTCGCCCAAACACTGATCACTGGCACATGTGTGGTCGAAATGGTGGTTTGGATAGTGAAGTGTGAACATACAACTAGTATTAACTATTATTAAATTCTGAATGACACTTCAAATCTAATAGTTGTATGACACTTGTATCGTGAAAGCAACTGAACAGTGATCTCTTGTTGCGCGTTTTGGGTGCTTTTTTCTAGATGTGATATTGTTTTGTATTTCAAGGTAAGAAATGCCTAGTTGAAGTTGCATCGTCTTCAATGCGGCTGTTTCACCACGAACAACTCTAGCTCTGTTGTAGTTTTGCGAATAAAATATATTTTGATAATAATACTTCTTTAATTATTTGGGGTGTCAGCCCACAAATTACGGACATGATCCCCATGAATTACGATCATTGTTTGTCCTGTCTCGGCTGATTGTGTTGATCAACGCCCTTCCTAAACTCAGTATGGAGAAACCAACTGGGATCGACATTCCAAACAAATTATTGAGACACGGTCGACAGACATTCCAAACAATCAAAATTATCAACGAAAAACAAGATTTTTCCAGATATTTATAAACATACTGTCATGAAAAACGTATGTAAAATTAACAAATACACAAAGAGGTGTAATATTAGGTTTTATTTCAGGCTTAGAAATATTTCCTTTCACTCAGCTCATGCATGGAACTGCCATTTAGCTTTATGGTCCTTCAGCTTGTCTTTGCCTCGGGGGGGGGGGGGAACAACAATAATTATACAAAACACATTGCGAAGACTCAACAATCGGGAAAGAAAACCCAGACAACCATGTTGTGCTTGCGTTGAAATACAAATTGTATTTCACATCAGAGTATTGTTTAAAATAAAATATTCAGTCCAAGCCAAATCGAGGTCAAAGGGATTGCGTGCATATAATTATAGATAGTTAAAACAAAAAGTATTTGAACTTTTGTCAGCTGTTCAACATTCATAAAAACCAGAAAGACAATTATAAGACAATGTCAGGTGAACCTCGGAAATTTTTGTATTAATCGGAATTTTAAATGCGCGCGCGGGCGGTGATTTTTCAGGTTCTTTTTTTTTTTATATATATATATTTTTGTGCCAGGCGACAGTTCTGGACATTGAATGTCACCGTTGTCTCGCCTGACTTTTTTTAGTCCCCGTTCGTACGAAGTCCAAAAACGGGGACTTATAATTCGGTCTCCGTGTGTCCGTCCGTCCGTCCGTCCGTCCGGAGTCGTATCTCAGACTCCCTTGGACCGATTCCGTTCATTATTTGCATGTGCCTAGTACTTTATGTGGGACATATGCACATGCAGTTGTTTAGCGATTCGATTCAAAATGGCCGACTGGCAGCCATCTTGTTTTTTGAAAATGTTGTATTTTGGACATGCTTTGTCAGTTGTCATTCAGACTTGGTACATAGACTATACATGTTAGAATACATGTCCATGACGATTTATTTCGCAATTGGATCAAAGATGCTCGACTGGCAGTCATCTTTTTTTTATGCGGTATCTTGGACGTGCTTTGTCAGTTTTCATTCAAACTTGGTACATAGATTATACATGTTAGGATACATATCCATGATGATTTATTTCACAATTGGATCAAAGATGGCCGACTGGCAGCCATCTCGTTTTTTGAAAATGTCGTATTTTGGACATGCTTTGTCAGTTTTCATTAAAATTTAGTACATAGATCATACATATTAGGATACATGTCCCTGACCGTCCATGAGTTCCTGAGTCTGTCCGTGCGTCAGTCTATTCAACGTCATATTTCAGAATCCTGTGGACCGATTCCGTTCATTCTTTGCATGTGCCTAGTACCTTATGTGGGACATATGCACATGCAGTGGTTTAGCGATTCGATTCAAAATGGCCGACTGGCAGCCATCTTGTTTTTTGAAAATGTTGTATTTTGCAGTGATTGATCTAGGAATTCATTAAGTGGGGCCACTGGGGCCCTCTTGTAAGAGAACAAGGGCCATGAAAAAATACTGGGGGCCCAGAAGTTGGCATAGCAATGGCGTGCTCATAACCCTGAAGTGTTTACTTGGCACAAATCAACCAGTTTACTGGTTGTCAGGATTGTCTGGGGCATAAGTGAAAGACAGCAATCTAGTGGCAGGTCTGAAGGATTTTCCAGCATTTAAAAGCCTGAATGCATAAAAATGATATTTTTATTGGACAACATTATATTGAACACTCACTTGTTGTCCTATAGTTTTATAGTACTGAACAGTGCCCTTTACTAATACCTTCTTCATGACCACTTACATCTACCTACTGGGACAATTAATGGAACATTGACAAACTGAAGCTGCAGAAGCTCCAGTGCTTGCTAGAAAAGACTACATGTAAGCAAGTATTTCAGTTATTTTTTTATTTATCATAAATTGCAACAAAACACAACTGGGGAAAGACGCTTCAAAAACAAATGTTGCAACAAAATGCATGAGAAAATAATATATTCACCATTTCACTATGGAATACTT